GCCCTGCCCGGCGGGCCTGAGTGTGAGATGCCACTCATGGGCTTCCCAGGGCCCGGCCTCCAGTCACCCCTCCACGCAAAGCCCTATATCTAAGCCAGGGAGAGACAGGGCAGCCAGGGCTGGGCTCTCAGCCACTGAGACGGCCAGCCCCATTCTGCTGCCACACCACAAAGTTCTCAGTCCCAATTGCCGGGACATGTGCAGGCTGGGCTGTGTGACCACAGCTGGGCCCTGCCCTCTCTGTACCTCGGTCTCATCATCTGTGAGATGCTGCGGCCCAGTGATGAGCCCTAACATCCCCAGAGCCGAGTGCCTATGAGAATGGCGTCTGCCCCACCCTCTGCAACGTGCAATCCCTGGGCATGGCGGGCCCTGCCGTGTGCTGGTAACATAGGCCTGGACCCTGCTGGGCTCTCCTACCCCAAGCAGACCTTGGGGGCCAGTGAAGGAAGCCCCCAGAAAGCGCAGAGGGACAGCAGGTGGGTGATAGGGCTGTGCAACTCTAGCCTCGGCCCCAGGAAGCGAAGGAACAAAAGAAACTGGAAAGGAAGATGCTTTAGGAACATGTTTTGCTTTTTTAAAAAAATATATATATATTTATAAGAGATCCTTTCCCATTTATTCTGGGAAGATGTTTTTCAAACTCAGAGACAAGGACTTTGGTTTTTGTAAAACAAACAATGATATGAAGGCTTTTTGTAAGAAAAAATAAAAGATGAAATGTGTTTCTTAGGTTCAGTCCCAGGGTAGAAGGGATGGGTGGAGGGATATGGAGAAGGGACAGGCCTCGCTGTGGGAGCCGGGGCCCTCGGTCAGCAACCCCTGGGCTTGCTGTGGGAGCTAGGCTGCCTCTGGCCTCGGACAAGGACTGGTCAGTGAACCTTACCTTCCCCAGGCCCCATCTTCTGCCAGCGGGAGCTCTGGCCCATGTGAGGCTGGGAGACTCTCGTGGCAGACATGGGGCCAGGCGAGGCCCTCCTGGGTTGGTCTGAGGGGTATTTCACTGCCTGCCTTCCTCTGGGGACAGTGCCCTGGGCACTCTCATTCCAGGCCTCATGGGGATGGTCGTGAGACTAGATGGCCTCCAGGACCTTCCCTACAAGGTCCCAGGAGAGCCAGATGATTTGCATGGCCCTAACTCTCACCTGCCACCCCACTGCCCAGCATGGGTGCAGCAGGAAATCCTGCTCCTTGCCTCCTGCCCCCATCTGTAGTGAGGGCCTTGGTGGGAGGGGAAGTGTGTCTCATCAAAGGCAGGGACCCCATGGACAGGTTGGGACCAGGACCAAATGGCCCAGGCTGGCTTGCAGATGGCGCCACGATTGGTGGCCTTGGGATGCCCCCTCAGCCCCTGCACTAGGGATGTGCCCAGGCTTTCCGAAAACCCCAGAAATGGGAGTATTTTCCAGGAAGGCTGCATGCTGAGGTGGGGGCAGGGATGCTGAGTGCGGCTGTGACCTGGACTAGGTGCAGGGAGCTTGGGGACAGTGATGGACACACAACACCTTTTCCTGTTACCCCCAGTGGGAAGGAGAGAAGGGGGCCCACTGGGCTACAGGGATGTCCTGAACATGCTGGAGTGAGCCTCCTGCAGGCCCCATGCCACTGTCCTACAGGTCATGGCCCCGGCACCAGCCCCCAGGCTCACCCCTGGCGGGACAGAGTCAGCCCAGCCAGACCCAGAGAGCAGGCCCCGCAGCGAGGGTGTTGATTTCAGCACCGAGTCAGGCCCAGCCACGCCAGGCTCTGGATTCAATTAGCGGCTGCTGAGGGCTCTGGCAAGAGGAGGGAGGGGGTGGGCCGTGGGTCAAGGCAGGCAGTGGGTGGTGGCAGTGGGCCGGGGTGGGGCCCCTTCTTCCTGAGGCAGCAGGGGCAGTCCAGGTGGATTTCCTGTAGGCCTGGGTCCCATTACAGGAGTGGCTGTGGCCAGGCCTGCCTCCCTCCGCCTGTGCCTGCCTCATCAAAGGGGCCTTTGTGGGCCTGAGGCCGCTGCTGAACACGGTGGCTGCTGAAGAAATGTTTTCACTGCAAAGCAAACCTGGCCAAGTGGGATGGTGATGGAGGGTAGGGGTGGGGGGTGGCAAGACCCAAAGAAAGGAAGCCTTCCAAGGAACGGTGTCTGGAGTGTGCCATTAAATTAGGGCTTTGGAGAAGGGGAGAACACAGCCAGAGGGCGACCAACCTGAGATGCAGCCTCAACCTGGGATGAGCCCCCTGACTCTAGGCCAGGGACCAGGGGCAGACCCGAGGTTGTGCAAGCCCCCATTACCGGGTGCTGACCGCAGCAGGCCCTGGGCCATGCGGGCAACACATGCTCTTGTTTTATGCCTAGTAACCTCGTCTATCGAAAAGGAGTGGCCACAGGGAGGGAAGACAGCATGCTCACGGTAAGTGGAGACAGGACCCCAATACCTGTTCCCTAGCCACTAACAGGGCCGCCCACCACTCGGGAGGGCTTAGGGCCACTGTGAGCTGCAGACCCTACTTCTATGGGGGTAAGTAGAGTGATACAGTTCACCCAGCCCCTTCACAGGCATTCACACACTCAGCCCCACTCAGTGCCACCCGGAAGCATGGCACCCGAGACAGGTGTACCTCTGTGTCCCCAAGACCAAAGCATGAGCTGTTCCTTTGATGCAGGTTGCTGGTCCTCTCGTTATCCCCCAACCTCCACCCTGTGCCAAGCACGGGGCCAGGCACACAAAGTGCTGGGCAGCTCTCCATGGACCAGGTGCCTGAGCAGAGACAGGACCTTGGTGTGCCAGGCTGGCCTGGCTCCCAGTATTCCTGCTCCTTCCACTGTGGCTTCCCCTCAGGTATTCCATGAATGCCAAGGGGAGGGCATAGATGGGACCACAGAGGAGGTCCCTGGATGAGGATGAGGAGGGGTTGGGTGTGTATATAACCCCAGTCCTCCTCTAGCTCTCATAAGGGCACACACTGTTCTGCCCAAGCCAAGATGGAAAATCTGTAAAACAGAACTCGAGGGTGGCGGAGTGGATGCAGTTGCCCAACAGTTGTGCCCACAGTTGACACCCCAGAGTCTCCATGCTCAGCTCAGACTCATTCAGGAGCGCCAGCACCCCAGGAAGTCAGTGGGGGGGCTCTGGCTTCTAGGACATCTGGGGGTGCAGGGGACCCGCCACCTCTCAGAGAACAGCCAAGGAGCTGGCACACATCCTTAGCATCCACCAGCTTTGTGGGGGCTGGCAGAACAGGGGTCAGAGCTGGGGGGGGGGCAGAGGGAGGAGGACTCTGGCCTAGCCACCCATCTGGGAGTGATTTAAGAAATTCCAGTCCTCACTGGTCCTTCAAGGCTATTCTTAACTGTGGTAATTACAGGATTAGCCTTGGCCAGTGGCACCGTGGGGTCTGGGCATCGTTAACTCCTCCAGAGGCCACACTGGGGCCAGGCAGAAGATGCTTACAGGGGAGTGGGGGGACCCTGTATCTGGGGACAGAGCCTGGAAGGCAGGAAGTGGTGGGTGGAAGTGACTGGTACTCAGTCCCTTCACGCCAATGCCTCTGCTTGGGGCCCTCCAGGGAAGGAGGGCTGACCTAGAAAGGTCTAGAAGACAAGATGCCAGGCAGCTCTGGGCCTGGGGTGGGGGGCATGGGACCAGATATTAGATGTGGAGTCTGAAGGCCAGGGAGCTCTGACTCCCCCAAGGCAGAGCAGGTTCCACCAACTCCTCCCTGAATCCCTTGTGCCCAGAGCAGGCAGGAGGCTGAGGGCGGCCCTGACTCCACTGCTCACCCTCCATGTGGCTTCAGGGAAGGTGCTGAATCTTGCTCAGCCTTGCTTTCCTCATCTATAAAATGGGCCTTGCCAGCTTCTCAGGCCCTCCCTGGGTGTAAGAGGATGGGAGAGGGTGTCACTGTCACCCTGACTGCCACCCCTCTTCTGGGAGGCTCTCGGCCTGGGGAAGCCCCTGGCAGGAACTCTCACTGGCACTCAGGTGGGAGCTCTTTTGGGGACTCCCAGGAAGATCCCACAGCCTTTCTTACCCCCAGAGCCTGGACAGGTCACTGTTGCCTGTGACTCAGTTTCCTCAGTTATGCAATGGAAGAAGGAACAAGCTTGCCAAGGACCAGCCCTTTCCTGGCTCTGATGTCCTCGGATCCCCCTGCCTTTGAAGGTTCCAGCAAGGCCCTCATGAGTCACGGCTAAAGCTTCAGAAGGGGGATGGAGTCCCTGCCTCTCCACCAGGGCCCTGCCTAAGTCTCTGAACCACCCCCGGCCTCAGTTTCCCCAGCTGTGTTATGGGTGGTCTGACATAAATCCTCGCCCTGGGCCTCATGGTGTCTGGCTCCTTAGCTGCAGTAGGCCAAGGCCATCTCTGCACAGAGCTGACCCTACCTGGCCAGGACCCCACCAGTCACTGCCAAAAGCTCTCTCCACACAGTTCTGGGGGCAGATGGAAGGATGACGTGCACTTGGAGCCCCCGAGGCTGCCTGGGCACCAGCTCCACCTGGGGACAGACCTCAGAACAGAACAGGACAGCCATGTGGCTGGTGTAGAATAGGCCGCATAAACTTCAGTGGGCCGTATAAGCTGAGGCCTACCTCCACCTCCAACCGGCCAGGCTGCCCCATGTTGCCCACGTCCACCTGCCTATCATAGTCTGGATCCTCTTTGGGCCTCAGCCCTGCCAGAACATCCACACAAAAATCAAGCGCATTCTCGTACTTCCAGATCACACCCTTTCCCTGAATGCCAAGCATACCTGTGTCAAGCCCCAGCTGTGACACCTTTGGTGACCAAGAACCCACTCTGCTGCCAGGGACCAGAGGGCACCTGAGCACCTGCTTCTGGTGACATCTGGAATCTCTGGGTGTAGGGGGCCAGGTGTCTGTTGCAAGGCCTTGCAGCCCAGCTCAGGGACCCCAGAATACCCTGGAGATCAGCCTGCCTCACGGATAGGCTGGATCAGGTGCCCTCACCAGCAGCACCCTGGGTCCTCAGCCTCCCAGCCCACCTGTGCGCCTCAGCTCCTACCCGGGCGAGGTGTCCAAGGTGAGGGAAGCCAGGGCGCTGGAGAAGAGCCGCGTGTCCCACAGCTTCACTTCGTGCTCACGCATCTGCGGGGGGGCAAGAGAGGGGCTCAGAGGGGCCTGTCCCTCAGCCCCACCCGGGGGCTCCCAGGAAACCTAGTGCCTGAGGGTGCAGCCTGGAATGGGGCACCTGCCCCAGAGCAGGAGTTGGAGTGGGGTGGGAGTCACCCCAGGGAAAGAGGGTTTGGGTTTTCATGTTCTGCCCCTTTAAGAACCCTTAGGTGACAAAGGATCAGGGGCGGTTCCCTCCGTGGACTCAGTCCCTGTGGGGCCACCATGGCTCCTGGGGTCAGACTGAGCTATTGCAAATGGAATCTGCCAGTTTTCAGCAGCCGTCAGTCCCCTGAGGCTCTGAGACGCAGCCGCACAGCCAGGCCGTATATGGACAGGCCTGGAACTGACCCTCTGTCCCCTGCCTCCCAATGGCTTCATCCCCGCCCAAAGGGCTGGACACGTCCCCACCTGGCTGTGCCCTGCTCCTCCAGGAGGAACCCCCTACCTGGTTGAATCCAGTGGACACAAGGTGCTCCTGGGTACCCATCCATGCCAGCCGGCTGTCCCTGCCGTTCTCGTGGGCCTCTGTGCTCTGCAAGAGGCAAGGGGTGGACCTGAGCCAGCAGGGCTGCTACTGGTGGGCGGGGCCCCCTAGAGTGGGCCTGAGCTGGGGAACTTCTGCTGCCCACCTGCCTGAATGCCTCACAGAGGGTGGGAAGGTCCAGGTCCTTCTCCATGTCCCCACTGGGACCTAGGGTAGTCTCCTAAGCACCCCAGGGATCTGCCCTGCCTCCACCCCAGCTGAGAGCAGCTCTGCACCCAGAGGGTGACCTGGCCACCGGACAAGGGCTCAGGGTCCCTCCTCCTGAGGAGAGGGCTGCCTCGCTCCCCAGCTCCAGACCCCTTCCCCACTGTGCCGGGGCTAAAGGCACTGGCACTTTCTCGTGACCATGAGCTGTGTGACCCTGGGGACGCCACACTCTCTCAAAGCCTCATTTTTCTTGCTTGTGTAAGGGGCTCACAGTGCTATGCCACCCACTTCCCAGGGCTGTGGCCATGTGGAAGGGCAGGGCCTGTGGCAAAGCACCGTGTAAATCGGAGGATTTCAAGGATCACTGAAGCCGCCCCAGGCAGGAGGCAGGGCCTGGAACCCACCTCTGGGCAATGTCCAGAAAGTGCCGAACAGTGCCTTTCCTGCCCTCCCGAGGAGCTGGAGCTGTCAGGAAAAAGGTTCCTGGCCCCCCACCACACCCCCAGCCCCCAGGAGAGGGAAGCTCACATGGTAGGTGGGACCCTGTCCTCCTGGGCCCTGGCAGGGGGAGCCAAAGGGGCCAGAGGAAATGCAAACAGCTCCTCCCAGTCACCCAGGCCCCTGGAGCCTGAGACGAAGGACCCTGTTACCAAAAATAGCTCACCCCAAACCATGGCCAGCTTCCTCCAAGCTTCCCACGATCTCCTTGGGAATGAATGAGGGAGGGAAGCAGCCTGTGAGGAGCTGGCCCAGGGCCCCCTCCCCAGCCCGTGGTGGCTGACCCCAGCGTGGGAGACCATCAGAAACGGCTCCAGGTCCCGTCCTTTGAGGGGCTTTTCTCACTGTTCCCTTCCCACCAGGCCTCGGCCGGCACAGGAAGTTGGGACTGTAGCCTGAGAATCAAGGCCCCACCACCCTCTCTCCACGTAAGAGGGGATATCGGGTCAGGACAAGGGTTGGGCCATTGGCCAGCCCTGCCCCCAGCACCCCGGAGAGGGTCACAGTGTCATTCAGGCTCCTGCCCTCTTGCTGGTGTTTGGTGTGCAAATATCCCTGTGTGTACAGCCCACCAGGTGGCTCCCAGCTTGTCCATAAATCATTCATTCATTCAAGAAACACACAGTTGCGGGGCGCGGTGGCTCAAGCCTGTAATCCCAGCACTTTGGGAGGCCGAGGCAGGTAGATCACGAGGTCAAGAGATCGAGACCATCCTGGTCAACATGGTGAAACCCCGTCTCTACTAAAAATACAAAAAATTAGCTGGGCATGGTGG